ATCATTTTTTTGCTCCATATTTTATTGACTTTATTCATCTTACTTTATATTTACATTTATTCATTCAATATTTATGATGCACCAAACATTGTTCTACTTGTAGACACTATCATTATGTAGCAGTCAAGTACTTTATAGGGTATGACTATATATTTAATAAATAGAAATCCCTTGTGACTTTGAAATATTCTTTTAATTTAAAATACAAAAATTAATTCATCACACTTTCTCAATGGTCATCAACATAATGGTCATTAGCAAAACAACATGATTCTGAAGCCTACAAGGAAATTTGGGAATATGGCATAATATTCATCACATACCCTTTAAAGGTTAAATGACCCATTGCTTTTATATTTCTAAAATAATTACATATCACAATATTACAGTCAACCCATTATCATCAACTATGATACCATATGAAAATAAGCAGTTATTAATGAAATATTATAATTTAGTTATATACAATGAACTAATATGTATTATAACTGATAACATATATATATATATATATAGTCTGCAGCACAGTCCCTAGCTGAATGAATTGTAACTAACATAATTACCTTACCTTGCTATCATCATTGCCTGGCAGGGTGTCACAGAGGCTGAGAGCGTGGTCTGAGGGGGCAGGTGGGTTCTCCTTACTAGCTCTTCACTGCACCTCTGATGCCTCCCTCCATACAATGGGGGACAACAGAAGTATTCACCACTTTGAATTATTATAGAGATTAATGCTCAGTACCCATATATTTTATTTATTTCATTTTTTGTATTAAAATGAAAGTTTATTAATCCATATCATGAATGAAGTTAGTAGAATTAATTTGGCAGAATTTGCCAACTATGGTCTTAGGTTAAGATTTTATTCCTGTGCTTTCACCCATTTCTGTTCCTTTGAATGCAAAATCAATGATTTATAGAAATTTATCTTTTTTTCATCTCATGTGCATTTCCTACAGAGATCTTCCAAAATATTCTTTTGTCTTTTGCCTCAGTTGAATCAATATAGGGACTCCAAAAACATTTATTTATCAGTTGAATAAACAATTATTTATCAGCTTTCCTACTACACAATTTTCTAATGGCATTTTTCATCTGGGCATTTCTCAAGGTATAGATTAAGGGGTTTAGCATAGGGGTTATCATAGTGTAGAATATAGAAACTGCTTTATCAATTGATAAAGTAGCTGCAGGTCTCATGTACACAAATATGCAGGGAACAAGGAATAAGACCACAGCTGTGATATGAGAGACACAGGTGGAGAGGGCTTTTTGCCTCGCGTCCAAGCTTTTGGTTCTTAGAGAGCGCAGTATGACCACATAAGAGCCCATCAAGAGGAGCAAGTTTAACAGACACATGAAGCCACTGTTTCTTGAGGTTAGCCTGTATTGCTGTGTATTTCCTTCTAAGAACTGCTTTTGCTGCATCCCACATATTTTGAACCACTGTGTTTCTGTTTTAATTTGTTTCCATGTATTGTTTGATTTTCTCAAACTAAAATGCTTCTGTACAACAAAGGAAACCATCAACAAAACAAAAAGGGAACCTACAGTATGCAAGGATATATCTATAAATGATATATCTGGCAGCTACGAAGATCCCTAGATTGCGGGTATCCGTGCAGGCAAGATTGAGCAAAGGAATCAGGTCACACATGAAGTGCTCTATGACGTTAGGGCCACAGAAAGGGAATTGGGAGATGAAGAGGATCTGTATGGTTGCGTGAAGAAAGGCTTCCACCCTCACCACTCCCACTAGCAGGCCACACACCTGCCGATTCATGACGGTTGTGTATAGTTTAAGGGCTTGCAGATGGCCACATAGCGGTCATAGGCCATCACAGTCAGCAGGGTAACATCAGCACCTCCAAAGAAATGTTCCCCAAAGATCTGGGTCATGCACCCATTGAATAAGATGGTTTTCCTCTCATGGAGTGAATCTACAATCAGTTTAGGGGCACTTACAGAGGAATAGCAGGCACCAATAAAGGAGAGGTAGGCCAGGAAGAAGCACCGGGGAGTTTCCAATAATGGGCTGGCGGCGATGGTGACCAAGATGAGCACATCTCCCACCACAGAAAAGATGTAGATGAGAAAAAACACAACAAATATGATTCTCTGCATCTTTGGATTCTCTGTGAGCCCCAGTAGAACAAATTGTGTCATGTTGTTTCTATATTCTCCACGTATTTCATATTATCTTAATTACATTACCTGAAAAAAATTAGTTTTTATTAACACAACCTTCAATTTATTAAGCTTCTCCATCTAACATATAATAACTACCTAGATTCTATTGAATGTGAATTTTTGTGAGGGTTTTTGAGATAGTAAATAGGCCTGAGTTCTTGGATACTTAAATCATCTCCTGGGTAAAGATTCTGATAAGAGTGTGGACATGAGGAACTTTTGCGGACACAGAGGCAGTGATCATTGGTGAACATGTAGTCATCTGAGGTGGCTTAGAGCCTAACATGAAGTTGTACCTCATGCATATCCTGGCAGGTAAGTAAGAAAAGGGAGGTAGAACATGGATTTAAAGGCCATAAATGCAAAGCTAAGGATTCTTCCCTGTATTCTTTGGAGACGGGGGACCATAAAGAGGAATTGAAAATATGAAAGGACAGATGAAGAGGAATTTGAGGAAAGGGAATTCTTGGATATAACTCCACTAATGATGTTGGGGTGTCTTGGATGAAGTGGTTTGAGGTTCAGTAAGAGGACAGAAGCCAGAGACAGAAACCCCAGTGCCAGACTATTTGTACTATATTCATATAGTATAACATAATGATCTGTTCAGGTTTTCTGTTTCCTCCTGGGTCAGTTTGAGATGATTGTTCTTTTCTAGGAGTTTGTCTATTCTAGTTTGTCTAATTCATTAACATATAATTTTTCGTAGTATTAGTATTTTCTTATAATTTTTTAATTTCTGTGGTGTCAGTTGTAATTCTTTTTCATTTCTGATTTTGTTTAGTTGTGTCCTCTCTCTTCTTTTCTTGATAAATCTGGCTGGGTTTTGTCTATTTTGTTTATTTTCTCAAAGGATCAGCTCTTTATTTCATTGATTTGTTTGTTTTTTTATTCTTTATTTTATTTATTTCTGCTCTAATCTTTATTATTTCTCCTTCTTCAAACTTTGGGCTTCATTTGTTCTTTTTCTAGTTCCTTTGTTGTGAGGTTAGATTGTTTATTCAGGATTTTTCTTGTTTCTTGAGGTTAGCCTATATTGCTGTGTATTTCCTTCTAAGAACTGCTTTTGCTGCATCCCACATATTTTGAACCACTGTGTTTCTGTTTTAATTTGTTTCCGTGTATTGTTTGATTTTCTCAAACTAAAATGCTTCTGTACAACAAAGGAAACCATCAACAAAACAAAAAGGGAACCTATAGTATGCAAGGATACATCCATAAATGATATATCTGATAAGGTGTTAACATCCAAAATATATAAAGAATTCATATGCCTCAACATCAAAAAGCAAATAACCCATCCATAATCTGGGCAGAGAACCTGAACAGACATTTTCCAAAGAAGACATATAGAAAGCCAACAGGCATGTGAAAAGATGCTCCACTTTGCGAATCATCAGGGAAATGTAAATCAAAACCACAATAAGATATCACCTCACATCAATCAGAATGGTCACTATACAAAAGACAAGCACTAGCAAGTGTTGGCAAGGATGCAGAGAAAGGGGAAGAGTCCTACACTGTTGGTGGATATGTAGATTGGTAAACCACTATGGAAGTCAGTGTGGTGATTCTACATAAAAATTGAAAATAGAAATAACATATGACCCAGTAACTCCACTTCTGGGAATTTGCCTTAAAGAAAACAGAAATATCTTATTCAAAAAGGTACATGCATCCTATATTTGTTATATTATATATAATAACCAAGATATGGAATTAACCAAAGTTTCCATCAATAGACACATGGATAGAGGAGATATGGTACATGTATACAGTGGAACATTATTCAGCTATAAGAAAGAAAGATAGTCTGCCATTTTCAAGAATATACATGGACTTAGAGGGCATTATGTTGGGTGAAATCAGCCAGGCATAGAATGTCAAATACCATATGATTTCACTTATATGTGTAGTCTAAAAACAAAATAAAACAAAATGAACAAAACAGCGGTAGACTCATAGACACTGAGAAGTGACAGGTGGTTACCATGGGGGAGGGGTTGGGGTATGGGAGAGGGTTGGGGTAGGTGGTTTAAATAGATAAAGGGGATAAAAAGGCACAAAATCTCAATCATAACGTAAATTAGTCATGGGGAAGAAAGTACACCGTAGAGAATACAGTCAATAGTTCTATAATATCTTTCTAATGTTGACAGTTACTAACCATAGTAGTTGAGGTAAGCATTTAATAATGTATATAATTACATTGTATACGTGAAAGCAATATAGTATCATATATCAACTATACTTCAATAAGAAATATATAAAAAAAGATTCTCAAAACAAGAAAAAAGAGAGATGGGGAGTGACTTGTTTAACAGGCAGTTAATGGCAGTGATGGTGTAAGACCCCATATATTTTATAGAGGTGGAAAATAGCTGGAAGTCCATGTAGTCAGTGTATATTGTGGCATAGTTGTTAAAAAAATGGAAAGTGATATCTTATCTTGGGGAACTACTTAAGATCTTAATGATTTGGTATAATTTATTGAACCATCCCATTTGTCTTTTCTCCCTTTATAAAATGAGTATCAGAATAGTAACTGTTGGGCTATGAGTTAAATACATGCAAATGGTTGATAAAAGTTCCAGGCATAAAATGTGCTCTCATTAATTATCATTTGATATACAATAAAGCCCTTAACATAAAAAGTATTTAAAAGAAGGTATGTGATAAATCCTCAATGACCTTTTGTCAGTGCATACTTTCAGTGTAAAAATACTAAAAAGTGCTACTGAATGTATTATGTTCTGTATTATTGCAGATGAATAAGTTTCTGAAGCGTACACAGGACTGACCTCAGCCTCATGGAAAATCAGAATGTCCCCGAATTTGTTTTCATGGGACTGTGGGGAAATAGCCAAATAGAGCTACTGTTCTTTTTCTTTTTTCCTGCTCTGCTGCCTGGCTGTCTTACTGGGGAACTTCACCATCTTAGTCACGGTCACCTGCAGCCATCTAATCCAACAGCCAATGTACCACTTTCTCTGCCACCTTTCCCTCATGGACCCCTGCTACACCTCCACTGTGATCCCCCGGCTGATCAGAGACTTAGGGGCAACAGGAAAGGACATTTCCTGTAACAACTGTATGACCCAGCTCTTTATAGCCCATTCACTGGCTGCTGTGATGTTCATCTTGGTGTCCACGGCTTTTCACTGCTGTCACCATTGTCAGGCCCCTGCACTACATGGTCATCATGAGCTGGCACAGGTGTGACATGCTGATCACCATGGCCTGGGGCATAGTTTGGCCCTCTGTTGCTCTGCTGCTTGTGGTACTCAGGTTACCTTTCCATGGTTTTAATCAAATAGGCCACTACCTATGTGATGTGAAGCCTCTTTTGAAGCTAGTGTGCAAAGATATCTGTGCTGTTAATACCTTAATGATTGCAAATTCAGGGATGGTGGTGGTTGTAGTTTTTCTTGTCCTAGTGGCTTCTTACATATTATATAAGCTCAGAACCCGCTTCTCTGCAGGGCCACACAAAGCTCTCCCAACCTGTAGCTCTCACGTAGTGGTTGTAGTCTTGTTCTTCATGCCCTGTATCTATGTTTACGTACTACCTGCAGGGAGTGAGAACAAGGACAAGGAAACCTCAGTGACTACCCCCATGCTGAATCCCCTCATCTGCACCCTCAGAAATGTGGAGATGATACTTGCCATGATGAAGGTATGGTCACAAATGGCACACTCAGAATTCAAGTAAAGGTGACATTCATTGTGCTTTTTGATCCTGTGTCCCCAGGGCTTGTATCATTTCAGATGTTATAGAAAGCACAGTAGGTTTCTTTGGGGAGTTGGACTGAATGACCTCTGACAATATATGAGCCAAAATACTAGTCACTGTGATTCAGGTTGCAGTATACACTTTAAAGGGTCAAACTAGGTCGTTTTTTTCACACAGGGGCCATTCCAGAAGATGGGTAGTGAGTAGATTGTGAGGTGAGACTTCTGGAGGGGTGGGCTGTAGGTGAAATTGCAACATTTCCATAATCTCTTGCCTGGTGTCAGTGCATCTCTATATCAAAAGGTGTTTCCAAGGGGTGGAGAGGAATAGTCCATCTACATACCAATAGGTAATTACAAGGGGGTGTGATGGCGTATCTGAACAGGAGAGATTGGGTGAGGCCACTTTTTTCTGCAATCGGGCCATGAGAGACACAAGCAATCAAAAGTGGATGACTGCTTCTAAGCAATAAATGGCATTCTCCCACTTTATTTCTCCCTTTGACTGATTTCAGTTTCAAAAGTATTTTGCCCTGGGATTTCCCTCCCAGAGTTATATTTTCTAAGGAGTATTTGGACAATTTTTTCAAGTACAGATATGTATTAAGAATATTTCTGTGTGTGTGTGTGTGTGTGTGAGTATGTGATGATTTTGTCTCTGGGTATGGAATGGAAGACCTTGGGAGTTGATTATGGATCTGAGGAAATAGCCCATTAAAAGAATGTTATGAAACAAAACCTTCCAAAAACTTGTATTATCATGTGTTTTCACAAGTATCCAAACACATTTTTGGTAAAACATATAACTATATTATACAGTTAGCCCACCAAAAATATATTGAACTAAGATTAGTCACTTACTTATTAAGTATTCTTTAAAGGATTCATATTCCAGCCTTTAGCATAATGCCTACTATCCTCAAAAATACTTGTCAAGTAAATGCTTAGAACTTGATAAAATGTTCACCATGTAAATTAAAACAGAATATTTAGTAAATATTGGTGGTTTAAATATATAATTTAAGAAATTCTCTCCATTTATATAGGAATTTAATTTATAAATCTATCATTGCTAAATGTCGAAGGAATCCCTTAACTAAGTAATGAGCACTGTATCACAAAATCACACTGTAAGTAGAAAGAATTGTGTTGAGTCAACATTATTAAGATGTGTATTCTCCCTAACATAATCTCTAGATTCAAACTATCCCAAACAAAATATGAACAGGCATGTATTTGGAAGTTTGCAAAGTGATCTAAAACATATGTGATGGAAAGCACCTTAGTTCCCACAACTTTAAAAAAGAACAAAGTTGGAGAACTTATATTATTTGATGTCATGATTTCACAGTACGTTATAAAGCTGCTGTGATCACATGGTGTGTTTTTTTCATTAATATAGACAAGCAGATCAGTGGACCAGACTAGGGAGTTCCAGAAACACACCTGCATGTGTTGGTCAACTAATCCTCAACAAAGGTCTGTAGGCAACTCCGTGGAGAAAAAGTTTTTGCAACAAATACTAGTGATGCACATTCGTATGTCCCACCACTACCACCACCACCAGCAGCATCTTCATCTATATATCAAACCTTGTACAAATTCTATCAAATGTGTCTGAGAACTATATGTGAAATGTAAAGGTATACAAGTTTAGAATAAAACATAGATCTCTGTGACTCTGGATTAGAAAACAATTTTTTCAAATACAGTACCAACAGTGTGATCATTAAAATAATGATAAAATGCAGTTCATCAAAATTAAAAGTTTTGTAGCAGAGCACGTAATGTGACCAGGGGTGAAGTCAAGACCTGAGAATGTCAATGGAACAACAGCATCTGTCTCTAAGAGGTGCCCTAGTGCGTGTTTGTGCAGGGAGAGTAGAGATATGACCAGCTATCATCTTCTCTGGGCTGATGCCAGCTAACCTGAGAAAAGTTTGGTCAACACTGGCATAATGCGGAGGTGGACAATCAACAAAACACTGGATTTTTGACATCCTTTATGCTGAAGTGCAAGGATCCTTCATTACTCAGGGCTACTCAACTGTCAAAGCCTGGAAGCAGCCAATAAACTTACAATACCCATTTTCTTATTTTTGTTGCATACTGGTCATTTGAGCTTGTAATTTAACCTCTAGACAGTTCTGTGATCTTATCTGTATAAGAGGCAATAATACTTCTGTCAAAATAAGCATTATTATGAGTGAACTTAAGCTACCCAATAATAATGTTATTATTTTGCTAAATCGTTTGATCTGAATCAGATTAGATAGTATAAAACTGGATTTCCTGACATTTGGAATGCATGAGAAAGCTTTAAAGGTATGGATTTGTATGCAGTAGAGACAGAGATTAAGTGAACTTCAGTGTGTGCAGATGAGGCTGAGCCTAAGCAAATGTGAATATTCAGTGACTGGAGAAAGCACCAAAGAGTAAACAAAATGGAAGCTTTACTAAACTTTGAGTGCCCTTTCCTCTGAGTTTTCCATCTCTTTTTAACTTAATGATGTATTCCTTTCTTCCCTGCCAAGCTCATGGGGAGAGAGTGTTTATTCCTTTATCTTTCCTTTCCTGTGTATCTGATTCCTCACCATCTCTGCCAGCCTTGTTACTCCCTAACCAGTGACCTCATACCAGTTATGATATCACAGGTCATTGATTTTATTGACCTGCTGTACACCTATGGTCCTGATAATGGTCCATACTTGAACTGTAAATGCCCACTTTTGGTTCTCTATGTCCTGTTTCATCTCAGATCTTCCAGAAAGCTAACCCTCTATTATTGCAGGCTGTATGAGTTTCCCTCCGAGGCTTCAGAAAGAGTGAAGAGCACAAAGCAGTGTTTCCTGGTCTGTTGTGACTACAGCCTTTTTGGGCCTCCCAGCAGATAGTGCCTGAGCCAAGTTAATGCAAAGGTGGAAAGTAAACACCTCGGGAAACTGGGACATTATCATGAACAGTGGCCTGGCAGCATTTGGCCAGGGTTTGTTTAGAAATGCCATTGGGAATATAATATTTACAGCTCTCAAAAACCTATTAATTTCTGTGTTGTCACTTGAAAGTTTGTACTGTGCTCCAAACCGAATTTCCTTCAGGCATAGGCTTAAAATAGATGATCCCAAGGACCCAAATACTTGTGTTAGCTTTATAGGAAGGTATTTAAAATACCTTTTGTTTATCTTTTAATTTGAACTATTAAGTTAAATGGCATTCAACATTTCTAGCCTGATTTCCTGAGGGATAAAGATGCACTTCTTGAGAAATAGCATGGCTGATAGTTTCAGTGAATATTTACAATCCACTTCTCTTGCAAACCAATAGAAGGTATAAGACAGGTTGAGATTTCCAAAATATTTTCAGAGTTTATCTGGTTGTGTTTGAATTACTGGTTTGTAATTCTCCATTTTATTGCAGTTTCTGATACTGGAAATGATTTGGCAGCGGGAGTCTCTGTAGTGGAATTCTTGCTGATGCAGCATAAAACTAACCTGCCCGCCTTTCAGGGCTGATGGTAGAGATTTACCCATGTCACTTTTGCTTGAGAAGGGTCACACCAACCATGTGCTTGGCTAATTATATGCTACTTACATTTATTCTACATAATATCATTCTAAGGGCTGTAACTGTTCTTACACCATCTGATAATTTGGTTACTATAAAAAGTTTAGCATGCTTCATTGTAATTATCCACTACTGATAAGTAGAATTCTGGCTAATAACAAGAGTTAAAGCAATTTCAAGTTTCATCAGAATCAACTAAGGTAAGTTTATAGCATGCAAGATTCTGATATGCTAAAAGAAAATTTGAATATGCAATGGAAACTTTAATTTAAATATATAGGTTTCTGTACTTATGCTGACAACATAACCTAAAGGTCATACAGAATTTCTATTCAATACTAAGAAACAAATGAAGTAAATTTTTACTGTAGTTTTGTAGTGGAAAAAATTCAGGCTAATAACTAATGTTAAGAAATGCCCAAAGTTAATCATTCTATCATCCAGCCAACTTAAATATTTTCACTAACATATTTTTGAAAATGAAGCATACCTGATTACACTTGTCGAAATCATGTTGTGAAATAATTTTTCTTTTTTTTTCTATCGACTTGGTTGTATAGGTTGGCATGACAATTTCTTTAGTTGCTAAACTACTCAACATGAAAGAGTGCAAAAGGGAAATAACTCTGTGATAAGAACCACATGTGTCACTGGGGTATTTCATGTTACCTCAGGTATTACTGGTCAGGAAGGTTCTGAATTATGTAGTGATATCTTAATTGAATGAAAAAATTAGTTTTAAGAGATTAAGCAATTAGCTCAAGAATCACGCTGCTCTGTCTCTTTAACATTCCTGAACATTTCTACCTCATTCTCTGCTTCGCCTGTTCTAACCGTTTGCTCACTAGTTGCCTGAGAGTCTTTGTTCAACAACTGTGACCTGCATTTTTACAGAAGTTTTCCTTAATATTTCCAGAATCAAAATGCTGTTTTTAATGGCAATGATTCTCCTCTCCTGACTTTTCCCTTTTCCTTCTGCTAACAGCACTGTTCATATCGCATGTGCCCTCAGAGTACAGGGTGGGTGTTAAATTACTGTAGATTAAACACCAATGATGGGCCAGAAAACAGGCCAGAATCTTCATTAAGGAATGACATTTTAGTAAGGCTGGAGGAAAATTCTTTCAAAATGATTTAGAATCAGAGCATTCTAGAATACATGCTTATATTCAATACTCCATATCTCTTTGCACGCCTAAATACTCAGAAAGACAGGCTGGGTATCCGGTAACCCATCATCTTGCATATTCTTTTCTATTCAAATGAGGATTTAAAACAGTCTTTTCATTGCTGTCCTTCAAGATACCCTTCATCATGCCTCTCAGCTCTCACACATGAAATGTAGCCCTGAACCAAGGGAGAATCCCATTTTCTGTCTTTTATATTCACAGTGCATTACTTTCCAATCCTGAGAAATGCTTAAGTTTCTCTTGATCAGAATTTCTATTTAATATCAGATACTCAGATTAGCCAAGTGAATTTCACCTTTAAGTTGTTCAGTTTACTTATATAATAATTGTCTTTAAATTAGTTTTAGGGGAATAAATATATTTGAACAAGTAACACTATACCACCTCATAAACAAAGATCAGTATCAGTTGCAGTAAGTAGAAGATAGGTTAATGATCCTCAACCCCTAAGTGTCTTCAAAGGTTAACTGCTGAATACTCCATGACTGATAGTTTTTTTGTTACTGTTATATAAAGGAGTTACAGGAAACCAAGAACAAACTGAAACTTCCTCCTTTGTAGTTAAGAGTTTTGAATAATTTTTAAATATAATTAAAATAAAATATAATTGATGTCCTACCTAAAATAGAACTGATGGAGCACTTCTAAAATGCCTGCCTGTTAATTATTTGGCATCTGTAACAGTCTCAAAGACTATAAAAATATAGATATTGATTTTGGGAATCACCAGAGTTGATGGTTTCTAAACAACCTTACTAGAGTAGCATTCTGTTTACTTGATTGCTGTTTGGTGTTTAAAAGTACACATCTGGGTTCCAGATAATGACTGTCACTTCAGATCCAGACTAAAGCAGGTGTGCTAGCTTTTGCAAACCCACTGGGGATAGATATTTCCTCCACAGTTGGTAAAAACGCAACAGAAGTGCATTCTCTCTAACCTAACCTCATTTTGCACTTACTAAATCATGTAAAGATTATATATTAGATATAAAAGAGCCAAATCTGTGAAATTTCACTTATTCATTATTGCAGCATTTACCAGAGTATAAACTGACCACAAAGTTCATCGTAATGTAATTCTCTGCATCATCTCCTTTTATTGACATCAAGTCCCTGTGTGTAAAACTCAAGACATTTTTAGCAAAAGTAATGGCATATTTTTAATTCAAACAATTTGGGCAATTTAAAGATTTTATCTTTCCTTTACTGGTAGCCATAAAAACTTCAATGACAGTATATTTTTTAAATTGTCTTTAACACCTGAAATATAAATAAGAGAAAGAAAATAATTTGTTGATTATTTTCCATGAGTTAATTATTTTTCAGCATTAGTGAATTTGAATTAACAGCTATTACGCTGGTTTAGCATGACCCAGGGACAATGTTTGACCATGTGGCAAAAAAAGAGTGTACTCTACACAAATTAAGATTCAGCAATTCAGCCTGGGGTGTTGAGACAGTATTTGCCTCTCTTGAGTATTTATTCCCAGATAATCAAGAAATTTGGTCTGATAATGTTAGCAGAAGGAAAATTGACATTAAACAACAAATATTTTAACAGTATGCAAAACACCATTTTTGTCTTGGGCCAATTGGCCTTCATTGTATTCTAAATTTTATAATTAATACTAATTCTTTTCAAAATAACATTTACATTTTTAAATAATTATAAGGTATATTGTTATTTCCATTATTAAGTTATCCCACAATAGGATGAGAGTCATAATAAAAAACATAAAATAGCTTTATTCCATAAATCAAGATAACCAGAATATTTTATTCATGTCAGTTTTTAATAATCTTTACACTTACAAATTTCTTTCATTTTTGTAATTTATGATTGACTGAACTCAATTTATGATTTTTTCATTCAGATTTATGCTTTCTTTCAGATACATAGCTCTTTTGGTTTATTATGTATAGCAAATTCAGATTTATGAAAACCGTAGAAACATCTCAGAATTCATCCTTTTAGAACTTTCTTATGACCAGAACATACAAATACTTTGCTTTGTGCTCTTCTTATTCTGCTATATTGTCCTATTGGGAGGAAACTTTCTGATACTTATTTCCATCCGATGCAGTCCTCTTTTTCACCAACCAATGTACCATTTCCTCAGCCACTTGTCCTCCATCAACGTCTGCTACACCTTACGTGTGACACCCGAACTGATCAGTGACCTGCTAGTGAGAAGGCATTTCTTGTGGTGACTGCATGTTACAGGTCTTTTCCTTGCGTTTCTTTGGGAGCAGCGAGGTCTTCATGCTCACCGTCATGGCCTTTGACGGTGCGTGGCTATCTGCCAACCTCTCCAGTGCATGCTCATCATGAGCAGGACAAGGTGCAATCCCCTTGTCATTAGATTTGTTTAATCTGGGAGAGATTGCCATTAAAAAAAATTCCCACCATTACAGATTTGTCAGTTTTTCCTTTTAATTCTTTATTATTGCTTCAAATTTTTCCAGACCATGCAATTAGTTACATACACGTTCATGATTTAATGTTTTCCTAGATTTTTCTTTGGAATGCAATAAGATGCCCCACAATGTGCTTTTTAATGCTACTCAAAGAATACTTTTGATAATTAATTTGCTACACAAAGTTTTTTGTTTTTTACTATTTGCCTGGTATGTCTTTTTCTATCCGTTTTTCTATATTTTAGTTTGTTCATTTTAACTTTTTTTAAATATGTTTGCTTTTTATTCCACACTTTTTCAAGAGAAAGAAATCACTTTTCCATAAAAAAGATTTGTCCATGAATTACTATAGCAGATAATTAGTGACAGCCAAGATCTGGACACAGTCAAAATGTCTAAAATTGGGGGAAACGGGTAAGCAAATTGTGGAATTTTCATAACCCTCTGAAGTAAACAGGAATGTGCTATTGATATTCACAAAGACATGAATCTCAGAATACATAAACTGGATGAAATAATCCAGATCTTGCCTGCAAAAAGCAGCTCACTTCCATTCTTACAAAGTCCTTGAAATTGCAAATGAATCTACTGTTCCAGAAATAGATCTGTGTTTTCTTGAGCAAGAAAGAGAAGTGGGAAGACGGATGAAGGGGCACAAGGAACCTTTGGGGGCTGGTATGTTCATTATATCAATTTCTCAGGTCGTCTTGTAAGTATATATGTAGGTCAGGCCTTTCGAATATTAATTATGTATTTTGTATTCGAATTACATTTTTATATAGATTTTAAAAATATATATTCTTGGAATTGATCCTGTTACTTCTTCTCTGGCCATCCTGGAACTTCTAGGTTTAGAAGGAAATCCACTAACTATTCTCAACTTATTTGTTCAAGAATAAACCTTGTAGATACTGCACAAATTTGCTGCCTTCCATTGTTTGGAAAATTGAAAAAAATGTAATTTCATAAATAAGTTCATATAACTCATAAAACAAACTCTAATAAGGGAATTAGGAAAGGATGAATAGACCAAAATCAACTCTCACCAAAGTAAGGCAAGATGTCCTGAGATAAATTCAGGAATTGGGATTGTAAATAAGGGTCTTGCATAAATCTCTAAGGAGTATCCTGATATGTGTGTGTCCAGTGTGTGTGCGGGGGGGACAGGTGGATATATGACCAGCTATCTCCTTCTGTGTAATGAATGACACAAGCTAGCTTAAGTAAAGCATTCAGGCATTATGTTGAAATGCACAATCAGTAAAACACTGGGTTGTGATGTTCTTCGTGCTGAAATGCTAGAATTTCTCATTTCTTCAAGGTTTCTTAACTTTCAAAACCTGGCAGGCAAGGTACTAAACATGTAAAACCCATTCCTTTCACTCACAGAAGGCACAGAGTCCTTTTTCTGCAGTTTAGTAGCTCTCTGAGCTGGTCCTCTAACCTCTAGAGGTTTGTGTNGTAGTCAGTGTATATTGTGGCATAGTTGTTAAAAAAATGGAAAGTGATATCTTATCTTGGGGAACTACTTAAGATCTTAATGATTTGGTATAATTTATTGAACCATCCCATTTGTCTTTTCTCCCTTTATAAAATGAGTATCAGAATAGTAACTGTTGGGCTATGAGTTAAATACATGCAAATGGTTGATAAAAGTTCCAGGCATAAAATGTGCTCTCATTAATTATCATTTGATATACAATAAAGCCCTTAACATAAAAAGTATTTAAAAGAAGGTATGTGATAAATCCTCAATGACCTTTTGTCAGTGCATACTTTCAGTGTAAAAATACTAAAAAGTGCTACTGAATGTATTATGTTCTGTATTATTGCAGATGAATAAGTTTCTGAAGCGTACACAGGACTGACCTCAGCCTCATGGAAAATCAGAATGTCCCCGAATTTGTTTTCATGGGACTGTGGGGAAATAGCCAAATAGAGCTACTGTTCTTTTTCTTTTTTCCTGCTCTGCTGCCTGGCTGTCTTACTGGGGAACTTCACCATCTTAGTCACGGTCACCTGCAGCCATCTAATCCAACAGCCAATGTACCACTTTCTCTGCCACCTTTCCCTCATGGACCCCTGCTACACCTCCACTGTGATCCCCCGGCTGATCAGAGACTTAGGGGCAACAGGAAAAGACATTTCCTGTAACAACTGTATGACCCAGCTCTTTATAGCCCATTCACTGGCTGCTGTGATGTTCATCTTGGTGTCCACGGCTTTTCACTGCTGTCACCATTGTCAGGCCCCTGCACTACATGGTCATCATGAGCTGGCACAGGTGTGACATGCTGATCACCATGGCCTGGGGCATAGGGGTTTGGCCCTCTGTTGCTCTGCTGCTTGTGGTACTCAGGTTACCTTTCCATGGTTTTAATCAAATAGGCCACTACCTATGTGATGTGAAGCCTCTTTTGAAGCTAGTGTGCAAAGATATCTGTGCTGTTAATACCTTAATGATTGCAAATTCAGGGATGGTGGTGGTTGTAGTTTTTCTTGTCCTAGTGGCTTCTTACATATTATATAAGCTCAGAACCCGCTTCTCTGCAGGGCCACACAAAGCTCTCCCAACCTGTAGCTCTCACGTAGTGGTTGTAGTCTTGTTCTTCATGCCCTGTATCTATGTTTACGTACTACCTGCAGGGAGTGAGAACAAGGACAAGGAAACCTCAGTGACTACCCCCATGCTGAATCCCCTCATCTGCACCCTCAGAAATGTGGAGATGATACTTGCCATGATGAAGGTATGGTCACAAATGGCACACTCAGAATTCAAGTAAAGGTGACATTCATTGTGCTTTTTGATCCTGTGTCCCCAGGGCTTGTATCATTTCAGATGTTATAGAAAGCACAGTAGGTTTCTTTGGGGAGTTGGACTGAATGACCTCTGACAATATATGAGCCAAAATACTAGTCACTGTGATTCAGGTTGCAGTATACACTTTAAAGGGTCAAACTAGGTCGTTTTTTTCACACAGGGGCCATTCCAGAAGATGGGTAGTGAGTAGATTGTGAGGTGAGACTTCTGGAGGGGTGGGCTGTAGGTGAAATTGCAACATTTCCATAATCTCTTGCCTGGTGTCAGTGCATCTCTATATCAAAAGGTGTTTCCAAGGGGTGGAGAGGAATAGTCCATCTACATACCAATAGGTAATTACAAGGGGGTGTGATGGCGTATCTGAACAGGAGAGATTGGGTGAGGCCACTTTTTTCTGCAATCGGGCCATGAGAGACACAAGCAATCAAAAGTGGATGACTGCTTCTAAGCAATAAATGGCATTCTCCCACTTTATTTCTCCCTTTGACTGATTTCAGTTTCAAAAGTATTTTGCCCTGGGATTTCCCTCCCAGAGTTATATTTTCTAAGGAGTATTTGGACAATTTTTTCAAGTACAGATATGTATTAAGAATATTTCTGTGTGTGTGTGTGTGTGTGTGAGTATGTGATGATTTTGTCTCTGGGTATGGAATGGAAGACCTTGGGAGTTGATTATGGATCTGAGGAAATAGCCCATTAAAAGAATGTTATGAAACAAAACCTTCCAAAAACTTGTATTATCATGTGTTTTCACAAGTATCCAAACACATTTTTGGTAAAACATATAACTATATTATACAGTTAGCCCACCAAAAATATATTGAACTAAGATTAGTCACTTACTTATTAAGTATTCTTTAAAGGATTCATATTCCAGCCTTTAGCATAATGCCTACTATCCTCAAAAATACTTGTCAAGTAAATGCTTAGAACTTGATAAAATGTTCACCATGTAAATTAAAACAGAATATTTAGTAAATATTGGTGGTTTAAATATATAATTTAAGAAATTCTCTCCATTTATATAGGAATTTAATTTATAAATCTATCATTGCTAAATGTCGAAGGAATCCCTTAACTAAGTAATGAGCACTGTATCACAAAATCACACTGTAAGTAGAAAGAATTGTGTTGAGTCAACATTATTAAGATGTGTATTCTCCCTAACATAATCTCTAGATTCAAACTATCCCAAACAAAATATGAACAGGCATGTATTTGGAAGTTTGCAAAGTGATCTAAAACATATGTGATGGAAAGCACCTTAGTTCCCACAACTTTAAAAAAGAACAAAGTTGGAGAACTTATATTATTTGATGTCATGATTTCACAGTACGTTATAAAGCTGCTGTGATCACATGGTGTGTTTTTTTCATTAATATAGACAAGCAGATCAGTGGACCAGACTAGGGAGTTCCAGAAACACACCTGCATGTGTTGGTCAACTAATCCTCAACAAAGGTCTGTAGGCAACTCCGTGGAGAAAAAGTTTTTGCAACAAATACCAGTGATGCACATTCGTATGTCCCACCACTACCACCACCACCAGCAGCATCTTCATCTATATATCAAACCTTGTACAAATTCTATCAAATGTGTCTGAGAACTATATGTGAAATGTAAAGGTATACAAGTTTAGAATAAAACATAGATCTCTGTGACTCTGGATTAGAAAACAATTTTTTCAAATACAGTACCAACAGTGTGATCATTAAAATAATGATAAAATGCAGTTCATCAAAATTAAAAGTTTTGTAGCAGAGCACGTAATGTGACCAGGGGTGAAGTCAAGACCTGAGAATGTCAATGGAACAACAGCATCTGTCTCTAAGAGGTGCCCTAGTGCGTGTTTGTGCAGGGAGAGTAGAGATATGACCAGCTATCATCTTCTCTGGGCTGATGCCAGCTAACCTGAGAAAAGTTTGGTCAACACTGGCATAATGCTGAGGTGGACAATCAACAAAACAGTGGACTTTTGACATCCTTTATGCTGAAGTGCAAGGATCCTTCATTACTCAGGGCTACTCAACTGTCAAAGCCTGGAAGCAGCCAATAAACTTACAATACCCATTTTCTTATTTTTGTTGCATACTGGTCATTTGAGCTTGTAATTTAACCTCTAGACAGTTCTGTGATCTTATCTGTATAAGAGGCAATAATACTTCTGTCAAAATAAGCATTATTATGAGTTGTAAACAATGAACTTAAGCTACCCAATAATAATGTTATTATTTTGCTAAATCGTTTGATCTGAATCAGATTGGATAGTATAAAACTGGATTTCCTGACATTTGGAATGCATGAGAAAGCTTTAAAGGCATGGATTTGTGTGCAGTAGAGACAGTAGAGACAGAGATTAAGTGAACTTCAGTGTGTGCAGATGAGGCTGAGCCTAAGAAAATGTGATGGGAGAAAGCACCAAATAAACAAAATGGAAGCTTTACTAAACTTTGAGTGCCCTTTCCTCTGAGTTTTCCATCTCTTTTTAACTTAATGATGTATCCCTTTCTTCCCTTCCATGCTCATGGGGAGAGAGTGTTTGTTCCTTATCTTTCCTTTCCTGTGTATCGGATTCCTCACCGTCTCTGCCAGCCTTGTTACTGCCTAACCAGTGACCTCATACCAGTTATGTTATCACAGGTCATTAATTTTATTGACCTGATGTACACCTATGGTCCTGATAAAGGTTCATACTTGAACTGTAAATGCCCACTTTTGGTTCTCTATGTCCTGTTTCATCTCAGATCTTCCAGAAAGCTAACCCTCTATTATTGCAGGCTGTATGAGTTTCCCTCCGAGGCTTCAGAAAGAGTGAAGAGCACAAAGCAGTGTTTCCTGGTCTGTTGTGACTACAGCCTTTTTGGGCCTCCCAGCAGATAGTGCCTGAGCCAAGTTAATGCAAAGGTGGAAAGTAAACACCTCGGGAAACTGGGACATTATCATGAACAGTGGCCTGGCAGCATTTGGCCAGGGTTTGTTTAGAAATGCCATTGGGAATATAATATTTACAGCTCTCAAAAACCTATTAATTTCTGTGTTGTCACTTAAAAGTTTGTACTGTGCTTCCAAACCGAATTTCCTTCAGGCATAGGCTTAAAATAGATGATCCCAAGGACCCAAATACTTGTCTTAGCTTTATAGGAAGGTATTTAAAATACCTTTTGTTTATCTTTTAATTTGAACTATTAAGTTAAATGGCATTCAACATTTCTAGCCTGATTTCCTGAGGGATAAAGATGCACTTCTTGAGAAATAGCATGGCTGATAGTTTCAGTGAATATTTACAATCCACTTCTCTTGCAAACCAATAGAAGGTATAAGACAGGTTGAGATTTCCAAAATATTTTCAGAGTTTATCTGGTTGTGTTTGAATTACTGGTTTGTAATTCTCCATTTTATTGCAGTTTCTGATACTGGAAATGATTTGGCAGCGGGAGTCTCTGTAGTGGAATTCTTGCTGATGCAGCATAAAACTAACCTGCCCGCCTTTCAGGGCTGATGGTAGAGATTTACCCATGTCACTTTTGTTTGAGAAGGATCACACCAACCATGTGCTTGGCTAATTATATGCTACTTACATTTATTCTACATAATATCATTCTAAGGGCTGTAACTGTTCTTACACCATCTGATAATTTGGTTACTATAAAAAGTTTAGCATGCTTCATTGTAATTATCCACTACTGATAAGTAGAATTCTGGCTAATAACAAGAGTTAAAGCAATTTCAAGTTTCATCAGAATCAACTAAGGTAAGTTTATAGCATGCAAGATTCTGATATGCTAAAAGAAAATTTGAATATGCAATGGAAACTTTAATTTAAATATATAGGTTTCTGTACTTATGCTGACAACATAACCTAAAGGTCATACAGAATTTCTATTCAATACTAAGAAAGAAATAAAGTAAATTTTTACTGTAGTTTTGTAGTGGAAAAAATTCAGGCTAATAACTAATGTTAAGAAATGCCCAAAGTTAATCATTCTATCATCCAGCCAACTTAAATATTTTCACTAACATATTTTTGAAAATGCAGCATACCTGATTACACTTGTCGAAATCATGTTGTGAAATAATTTTTCTTTTTTTTTCTATCGACTTGGTTGTATAGGTTGGCATGACAATTTCTTTAGTTGCTAAACTACTCAACATGAAAGAGTGCAAAAGGGAAATAACTCTGTGATAAGAACCACATGTGTCACTGGGGTATTTCATGTTACCTCAGGTATTACTGGTCAGGAAGGTTCTGAATTATGTAGTGATATCTTAATTGAATGAAAAAATTAGTCTTAAGAGATTAAGCAATTAGCTCAAGAATCACGCTGCTCTGTCTCTTTAACATTCCTGAACATTTCTACCTCATTCTCTGCTTCGCCTGTTCTAACCGTTTGCTCACTAGTTGCCTGAGAGTCTTTGTTCAACAACTGTGACCTGCATTTTTACAGAAGTTTTCCTTAATATTTCCAGAATCAAAATGCTGTTTTTAATGGCAATGATTCTCCTCTCCTGACTTTTCCCTTTTCCTTCTGCTAACAGCACTGATCATATCGCATGTGCCCTCAGAGTACAGGGTGGGTGTTAAATTACTGTAGATTAAACACCAATGATGGGCCAGAAAACAGGCCAGAATCTTCATTAAGGAATGACATTTTAGTAAGGCTGGAGGAAAATTCTTTCAAAATGATTTAGAATCAGAGCATTCTAGAATACATGCTTATATTCAATACTCCATATCTCTTTGCACGCCTAAATACTCAGAAAGACAGGCTGGGTATCCGGTAACCCATCATCTTGCATATTCTTTTCTATTCAAATGAGGATTTAAAACAGTCTTTTCATTGCTGTCCTTCAAGATACCCTTCATCATGCCTCTCAGCTCTCACACATGAAATGTAGCCCTGAACCAAGGGAGAATCCCATTTTCTGTCTTTTATATTCACAGTGCATTACTTTCCAATCCTGAGAAATGCTTAAGTTTCTCTTGATCAGAATTTCTATTTAATATCAGATACTCAGATTAGCCAAGTGAATTTCACCTTTAAGTTGTTCAGTTTACTTATATAATAATTGTCTTTAAATTAGTTTTAGGGGAATAAATATATTTGAACAAGTAACACTATACCACCTCATAAACAAAGATCAGTATCAGTTGCAGTAAGTAGAAGATAGGTTAATGATCCTCAACCCCTAAGTGTCTTCAAAGGTTAACTGCTGAATACTCCATGACTGATAGTTTTTTTGTTACTGTTATATAAAGGAGTTACAGGAAACCAAGAACAAACTGAAACTTCCTCCTTTGTAGTTAAGAGTTTTGAATAATTTTTAAATATAATTAAAATAAAATATAATTGATGTCCTACCTAAAATAGAACTGATGGAGCACTTCTAAAATGCCTGCCTGTTAATTATTTGGCATCTGTAACAGTCTCAAAGACTATAAAAATATAGATATTGATTTTGGGAATCACCAGAGTTGATGGTTTCTAAACAACCTTACTAGAGTAGCATTCTGTTTACTTGATTGCTGTTTGGTGTTTAAAAGTACACATCTGGGTTCCAGATAATGACTGTCACTTCAGATCCAGACTAAAGCAGGTGTGCTAGCTTTTGCAAACCCACTGGGGATAGATATTTCCTCCACAGTTGGTAAAAACGCAACAGAAGTGCATTCTCTCTAACCTAACCTCATTTTGCACTTACTAAATCATGTAAAGATTATATATTAGATATAAAAGAGCCAAATCTGTGAAATTTCACTTATTCATTATTGCAGCATTTACCAGAGTATAAACTGACCACAAAGTTCATCGTAATGTAATTCTCTGCATCATCTCCTTTTATTGACATCAAGTCCCTGTGTGTAAAACTCAAGACATTTTTAGCAAAAGTAATGGCATATTTTTAATTCAAACAATTTGGGCAATTTAAAGATTTTATCTTTCCTTTACTGGTAGCCATAAAAACTTCAATGACAGTATATTTTTTAAATTGTCTTTAACACCTGAAATATAAATAAGAGAAAGAAAATAATTTGTTGATTATTTTCCATGAGTTAATTATTTTTCAGCATTAGTGAATTTGAATTAACAGCTATTACGCTGGTTTAGCATGACCCAGGGACAATGTTTGACCATGTGGCAAAAAAAGAGTGTACTCTACACAAATTAAGATTCAGCAATTCAGCCTGGGGTGTTGAGACAGTATTTGCCTCTCTTGAGTATTTATTCCCAGATAATCAAGAAATTTGGTCTGATAATGTTAGCAGAAGGAAAATTGACATTAAACAACAAATATTTTAACAGTATGCAAAACACCATTTTTGTCTTGGGCCAATTGGCCTTCATTGTATTCTAAATTTTATAATTAATACTAATTCTTTTCAAAATAACATTTACATTTTTAAATAATTATAAGGTATATTGTTATTTCCATTATTAAGTTATCCCACAATAGGATGAGAGTCATAATAAAAAACATAAAATAGCTTTATTCCATAAATCAAGATAACCAGAATATTTTATTCATGTCAGTTTTTAATAATCTTTACACTTACAAATTTCTTTCATTTTTGTAATTTATGATTGACTGAACTCAATTTATGATTTTTTCATTCAGATTTATGCTTTCTTTCAGATACATAGCTCTTTTGGTTTATTATGTATAGCAAATTCAGATTTATGAAAACCGTAGAAACATCTCAGAATTCATCCTTTTAGAACTTTCTTATGACCAGAACATACAAATACTTTGCTTTGTGCTCTTCTTATTCTGCTATATTGTCCTATTGGGAGGAAACTTTCTGATACTTATTTCCATCCGATGCAGTCCTCTTTTTCACCAACCAATGTACCATTTCCTCAGCCACTTGTCCTCCATCAACGTCTGCTACACCTTACGTGTGACACCCGAACTGATCAGTGACCTGCTAGTGAGAAGGCATTTCTTGTGGTGACTGCATGTTACAGGTCTTTTCCTTGCGTTTCTTTGGGAGCAGCGAGGTCTTCATGCTCACCGTCATGGCCTTTGACGGTGCGTGGCTATCTGCCAACCTCTCCAGTGCATGCTCATCATGAGCAGGACAAGGTGCAATCCCCTTGTCATTAGATTTGTTTAATCTGGGAGAGATTGCCATTAAAAAAAATTCCCACCATTACAGATTTGTCAGTTTTTCCTTTTAATTCTTTATTATTGCTTCAAATTTTTCCAGACCATGCAATTAGTTACATACACGTTCATGATTTAATGTTTTCCTAGATTTTTCTTTGGAATGCAATAAGATGCCCCACAATGTGCTTTTTAATGCTACTCAAAGAATACTTTTGATAATTAATTTGCTACACAAAGTTTTTTGTTTTTTACTATTTGCCTGGTATGTCTTTTTCTATCCGTTTTTCTATATTTTAGTTTGTTCATTTTAACTTTTTTTAAATATGTTTGCTTTTTATTCCACACTTTTTCAAGAGAAAGAAATCACTTTTCCATAAAAAAGATTTGTCCATGAATTACTATAGCAGATAATTAGTGACAGCCAAGATCTGGACACAGTCAAAATGTCTAAAATTGGGGGAAACGGGTAAGCAAATTGTGGAATTTTCATAACCCTCTGAAGTAAACAGGAATGTGCTATTGATATTCACAAAGACATGAATCTCAGAATACATAAACTGGATGAAATAATCCAGATCTTGCCTGCAAAAAGCAGCTCACTTCCATTCTTACAAAGTCCTTGAAATTGCAAATGAATCTACTGTTCCAGAAATAGATCTGTGTTTTCTTGAGCAAGAAAGAGAAGTGGGAAGACGGATGAAGGGGCACAAGGAACCTTTGGGGGCTGGTATGTTCATTATATCAATTTCTCAGGTCGTCTTGTAAGTATATATGTAGGTCAGGCCTTTCGAATATTAATTATGTATTTTGTATTCGAATTACATTTTTATATAGATTTTAAAAATATATATTCTTGGAATTGATCCTGTTACTTCTTCTCTGGCCATCCTGGAACTTCTAGGTTTAGAAGGAAATCCACTAACTATTCTCAACTTATTTGTTCAAGAATAAACCTTGTAGATACTGCACAAATTTGCTGCCTTCCATTGTTTGGAAAATTGAAAAAAATGTAATTTCATAAATAAGTTCATATAACTCATAAAACAAACTCTAATAAGGGAATTAGGAAAGGATGAATAGACCAAAATCAACTCTCACCAAAGTAAGGCAAGATGTCCTGAGATAAATTCAGGAATTGGGATTGTAAATAAGGGTCTTGCATAAATCTCTAAGGAGTATCCTGATATGTGTGTGTCCAGTGTGTGTGCGGGGGGGACAGGTGGATATATGACCAGCTATCTCCTTCTGTGTAATGAATGACACAAGCTAGCTTAAGTAAAGCATTCAGGCATTATGTTGAAATGCACAATCAGTAAAACACTGGGTTGTGATGTTCTTCGTGCTGAAATGCTAGAATTTCTCATTTCTTCAAGGTTTCTTAACTTTCAAAACCTGGCAGGCAAGGTACTAAACATGTAAAACCCATTCCTTTCACTCACAGAAGGCACAGAGTCCTTTTTCTGCAGTTTAGTAGCTCTCTGAGCTGGTCCTCTAACCTCTAGAGGTTTGTGTTCTTATTGGCACCAATAGAGCTAATATTGCTGATGTCAAAATATGTACTATTGTGAAATGGAATTATAAGGAACCTAAAGCACAAAATAATCTCTCAGTAAACTGTAATTATTATTATTATATTATACCAGATAACATCCTATAAAAGTTGATATCTGGAACTTTTACAGGTCTAAAGAAAGTTATTAATATATAGATTTGTACATGATAGAGGGGAATTGGTGAGCTGAACTTCGATGTGTACATGCGGGGCTGAGCCTATATAACCTGCAGATATGAAGTCACATAGGATAAAAGTGAATGGTAAGCAGAATAAAAATTATTTGACTGCTGATTTCCAATGATATTTTTATTATATTATATTGCCTTGACAGTATATAAGACACATGAAATTTCCAAGAAAAGCCATGAAATATGAACAATTCAAATATCTTTTGGCAACTTCTATCTTCTTTTATTGTTTACTATCACAAATTTAGATTAATTTTAAACAATAATTATGTCTAGTACATTAAATGTAAATAGGAGAAATGAATCAATTTTTGATGATTTTTCACAACTTCAATCAGTTAACATTTTCTCTTTACCTGCATGGTGTTCAAGCATTCTTTGCTTTTAATGTGCCTGAAACTATATTAGTTTTAAATGTCTGAATTAGTTTTAAATAGTGTTTGTTCACATGGCAAGGAAGATTATCTTTTAAGCCAATTAAACAATTCTAGCTGATATATTTTCAATAACTTTGCATTCTTGAGGATACACTCCCAAATAAAACAGAGTATTTGTTCTGATCAACCTGGAAGAAGAATGCATCTGACCCAATGGATAAACACATGCATTTAAAAAAATCTCAATCATAATATAAGCTGGTCACAGGGATGGAAGTGCAGCATGGAGAATATAAACAAGTGTTCTAGACCGTCTTCCTCTGTTGACAGTAACTGCACTAGTTGGGGTGAGAATTTAATAATGTGGGGGACTGTTGAACCACTGTGTTTATACTTGAAACCAATATAATATCATGTTATCAACTATACTTCAATATAAAAAAGTGCAAAATAATTGTTTAAGAAACGTAAAACATTATCTCAATAACATAATTAACAATAAAATATTTTCTCTGGATCAAACTAATATTTTAATATTCTATAATCATTATGATGTTGAAAAATTATTCTTTTCCCCATTATAGAACTATTTTACAATAGATTTCTAAAATAAAAGAAATAAAAAGCAGCATAAATATCAGGAATAAATAATACTTAAATAGTGGTATCAATTTTTTGGTAAATTTCACATTATTGTTATGTTTTTTATACAAATTAATGTTCTATTTCTTTTCAGATATTTAAGCCATCTGGTTAGAATATATGCAATTTGAAATATATGGAGAGAGAGAGAGGAATATCTCGGAATTCATCCTTTTAGGGCTTTCTTATGGCCAAAACATACAAATATTTAGCTTTGTGCTTTTCTTATTCTGTTATGCTGTCCTGTTGGCAGGAAACCTTTTGATCCTTTTCTCCATTCAATGCAGCCTTTTTAACTCAGTGATGTACTATTTCCTCAGCCACTTATCCTGCAGTGGACATCTGCTACACCTTTAGCTTTACACCTAAATTAATTGCTGACCTTCTGTGGAAAGAAAAACCATCTCCTACGATAACTGCATGAAAGGAGCTTGGTTCCTCAGTTCCTCAAGAGTAATAGAGAGAAATGGACAAGATCACTGTGATAATCTGAGGGTTACTAACAGGATCCGTGTGGTTTTCAGTATCTCAAAAAGCCCACACGAATCACATATTTTCTTACAATAATGCTGTAGATTGACTAAAATATTTTTACTTTTTGTTAGTATGGCAACTCAGGGCTCTTTACTGTAACACTTTTAATCCCTTATTGATTAGTGCTAGTAGTGGTCCCTCTGAGGTAATATATTAGTTATCATTAAATCCACACAGGGAAATTTCCAATTAATAGGAATTTCTACATAAGGAATGTCTGGTAGCATTCCACAATCATAGAGCATAACTTTTGTGTTAGACAACTCTATTGCATTCCACTCCTATGAAAATAGATACGTGACAGAACCCAAACATACTACTTCATGATCGTGTCATTCAACACTTTGGCCTTGCCTTGGGAACAAGAAAAAAAGTCTTCATTACCTGTATTTGATCTTTGTAGGGGAAGGCAGGTCTCTACTTGAATGCTGCTTTGAGAGTTGGCTCAAATCACCTTCTCCTTTTCCTCTTCCGCCTCTTGCAGGTTCAAAAGTTGGCCTAGCTGCTATCATCTTTTACACTTTGAAGGAAAATAGTATCAAGTTATTCCCAATATGATAAACTTTCATGATATAAAGTATTGACAAATATCCAACTTGTGAAATCATTTCCAAAACTCGTTCTCCAAATTTTACTTTCATCTCAAACAAAAGCTCTCAAGAAAACAAACATTGAGTCTCAGGAATACAGGAATACAGCTTCTTAAAGCAGTTCTTAATTAGCGCAAACAATTTTGTCGTGAGGATGAGCTTGTTTCTCGTTCCCCTTCTGGCTCTGTGGCCCTGGGCAAGTTACCTAATGTAAGTTCCTGTGGAATGGGGATATTCGTAATGGGATTACTATAAGAATTATTAGGTTTGAGATATTAAAGCCTTGTAAATTCAGTGCAGCCATGACTGAGTTTTTCAAATTCTCAACTCAACATTACTCCACCAGACCTCCTTTCTGTTGCACCTCATACAACAGAAAATAGGCTACAAAAAAAAAAAAAAAATACTTTGAAAATCCCTGGACAAAGTTACTGTCTTGGAGAAAAACGTGCTAAATTTCAATGACAATTACATAGGCAAAATTCTCCAACTTTTTGTTGATGCCATTTTCTCCTACAGCAACCATCGTAGTAAAAATCTTGTATTTTGCAGGTTATAATTTACTGAATGTCCAAGAAAGGAACCTCACCCTAAATGATTCTGATAACCTAAGTCTTCATGGTACTTCTGGGTTTGAGCAGCCAAAAGTGTACCGCCCAGCAGATATGGCTCCCCAAACCCGTCAAATGTTGGAAAAGCAAGTGTCTGGGGAAGCTGGGGGAACTGGTTTACTTCTCCAGATTTTCACAGCAGGAAAGGGGATGTATCCAGAGAGGGAGAAAAAGAGTTTTCTGTCCCGGGGACACCACTGCCTCACACGCCCACCCCCCCGGCGAATAATCATCACTCCCGCCTCGGGGCAGGGAGCCTTCTGGCTGTCCCCGGGGCTTGCCGACCCCTCCCCCAGGCCCGACCCGCTGTGGGGCGAGGCCAGTGAATCCCGCTTAGCCCCGCGCACAGCTGCTTTCCCGCGGCGCGGCGCCCAACGGCCGCCGGGCGCCGCCGCTGCCGCCGCCGGGCTCCGCCGCTGCCCGCAGCTTCCGAGCATCCTTCGCCGCCGACCCCGAAACTACCGCCCTTTCCGCCCCACGTGGACAAGACAATCCGCCACCCTCCTGCCGCTCTCGTTGGCCGAGGTCCCACGCAGCGACTGCCGCACTTCACGCAGACACCGTGACGACTCAAGACTCCCAGAAACCCCTGCGCCAAAGCCCAAAACCCGGAAGCAAACCCGGGCTTTTCGGGCGCACGTCATAGGCGGAGGCAGCCACCAATCCGCGGAAGCCAAGCTGTACGTTGGCATGACGATGGCGTGGGGCGAAGCCTAGGCGTTCGACTGGACGGGTGTTTGACACCAGTGCTTCAGAGTAGACAGAGTGTAAACACGGTTTCATACCTTAAAGGACCAATTGCCTAATGTCTCTTCCGTCTTTTCCTTCCCCGACCCCCTCCTAGACTCTTCCGTGGACAGAAAGCTCCGGGTAGCCGACTCCACATCCCGGCTAGCGACAGAGAGCCACCGGCTCCTGCTTCGTTTCTGCTGAACTAGACCCGCGAGTCTAGAGAGTTGGGCTACAGAACTAGTATTTTCATTTAATTGGATTTGAAGAAAGAACAAATACACGGGGGCAGCTACGATCTTTATAAAGGTACCATTCCTACAAAAATATTAGTCTTCAAAGCAAAGGTTATATTTGTATTGTTGGTTTAAACTTTTATTTTTAAAGAAGCCTAAGTTCTAGTGGGAGGGGAGGTGTCACTATTGGAGATTCTTTTATTAACACGATATGGAGCACGTAGAACAGTGCGCCCAACTGCCAGGAGCAGGAAAGATTCCACTGTGCTGTCTTTGCTCTGCTGCCAGTGTCCCACGAGAACAGATCACCATCCTTCAGGTCTCAGCTCAGATGTCATCTCCATGAGTTTTTCCCTCATATCTACATTTTCACCTCCAACACAAAAACACCATCGCATCACCCTTTATTATTTTTTCATAGTACTAAACAATCCTGAACTTAACTCTGTTCATTGTTTACTGCCATTTTTCTCGTCTGAGAGGAAGCATAGCAGAGTCATTAAGAGAAAGAATTCTACAGTCTGACTCTATTTGAAATTCCAGCTCTCCCCTCTGCTAGCTTGTGACCTTTGGCAGGTTATTTTCCTTTTCTGTGCCCTCAGTTTCCTCATGTACAGAATGAAGATAACGCTAGTCACTACCTTACAATGCTGTAAGAATTAAATGAATACTTATAAAGTGCTTAAAACTGTCTCAACAAACAATACTTGCTAAATGTCAGCTGTTATTAGTATTTTATTATTATTGTGTATCTTCCTGTATTAGAACATAAGTTCCAGAAAAACAGGAACCTTGTCTCTTTGTTCACCTGTATCCTCCGCATATAGAACAGTGCGTGGCACATAATAGGTGCCGAGTAAGTATTTGTTGAATGAATGAATGATTGATGCACTATGAAGTGAAGAAATGAAGTAATAATGACAAGGTGCTGACACCATTACAGAAAATACCCTTGGTTTTTGTTCCAGTGGCCTTTATTAGTTCTGAATTAATGACCCTGATTCATTTAACATCTAGCCCATCACCTAATCTTTTGATAACCAACCATGATTCAATAACCACTCCTGTAATTTCATTAATAGCAATATATCATCAGTCCACGAAATTTAAAGCCTTGACTTAATGGTCTGAAAGTATTAATAAGAAATAAGAAATTTAAAGTGTTAATAAGTATTAAGTAAAAAGTTAATGTAAGTGACTTTAAAGTACTAATAAGAAAAGTACAAAGCTTTTGGCTTAAATGTTTTGAAAGTATTAGAAAAAGAAACTAAAATTAAGTTTACTAAAAACTTAAAATTCATCCTATCAGCTGCCTTTGCTGGCAAAAATCTTATATAACCTCCCAAGAATTCTCATTTTAAACCCATTAATACAAAAATCTATTTGCACCCTTAATTCTCCTGCTAACCCTCTTATACTCTTAATTTTTTATTCCCACTCTGCAACATGATTTCCCACATTCCCCTTTGCTCAAGTCCACACCCCTCTTCCACCCACTTTTCCCTCCTGACCCTCTTTCCCGGGAGTCGATGTTCTGACTTCTCTGGGAAAAGAAGCTCTTCAACAAGGACTACTTATCTCCCCCAGGCAAACCTACCAAGCTGCCTCTGAGTTTGCCCAAACCCTCAGTTTTCCCTGTGTGGTGACCCCAAACCCTCTCCTCTGTTCTCTGGATTCCAAGTTCTCTGGCTTTCCTAGTAACTGGCGTCCTGCTGTATTTCCTGTCTTTCATTGTCTGTGAATCCATCCCCTTCAGATCATTCTTACCAGCTTTTGGGTATGCTGTAGTATATCTTAGCCTTAAAAAATGCTCCTTCAAAAAGAAAAAGAAGAAAAAAAAATTTAGCCTAAACATGCCTACAGTGTAAGCTTCACAAAAGAGAATGAATAAATCATTAAGCAACTGTCAAAAAAAAATGCTCCTTCATTTTAATATGACACCGTTACTATTTTAATCAATGTAAAAAGGATGTTTTATATAACAGCTGCGATTACAAAACTGATTATTCTTATGGCAGGATGTAGGAATTCCAGCTTCAATGCTTATACAAACACTATATCCAGTTGAATTAAACATCCAAAAGAAAAAAAAAATAAACATTTAAAAAGGAAATTTAAGAGACTATTTGTACAACCTAGGGTTTGTAAAGACCTTTCGATCAAGGCAAGACACCTAAGAGCTATAAGAGAAATAACTTTAAAATTTTATGTATATAAAAATTTAATTTTATGGTAAAACATGCCCCAAATTAAGTCAAAAGATAAATATTCAATTAGCAGGTAAATGCTGTTATGCCTGTAACATATAAAACTTTACTACTACTAGTACTATTACTAATAGTAATACACATAACAAATACAGCCCAGTAAAAAACTAGGCAAAGAATATAAAGAAGCCATCCAGAAACAGCAATTCCAAATAGACAACAAACATAAAAGACACTCAACTTCTCTATTATGAAAATGAAAGTAAACTAACAATGAATTACCACATTACACCATCAAATTGGCAATAATTCTTTTAAACTAATAATATTATTGAATGGGATTGGGAGAAAGGGGGATAGAGTCAGACAGTGGGGAGGCATTGGCTCCCCATTCCCCTTACAGTAAAAGTCAAAAGACTCACACTAACCTACCAGACTGTCCCATCTAGTTGACCTCCTGTGTTGCTTGTGCCTCTCTTGGTGGTGTTTGAACATAGCTCGTGTCTTAGGGCCTTTGCACTAGCCATTTCCTCAGCCAAGAATACTCTTACCTGTCTTACTCAAGTCTTTGTTCAAATCAGGTCAACCAACCATGACAGCCCTATTTAAAGTTTCAGCCATCCTCTACCTTGGTCCCCAACCTCCTGCACTGCTTATCTCCCTTAACCTGTTCTACTTTTCTCTTTTGTGTAGCACATATTGTCCATGATCCTGTACACTATGATCCTTATTCAATCCTATATAAATTTATTATTTCTTTCTCTGTCCCATACAGAATATAAATTCTACAAATGCAAGAATCTTTGTATTGCCCAGTGATGTAAGCCAAGCATCTGAGACAGTGCCTGGCACCAATAGGTGCCCATAACGATTTTCAAATGAGTGAATGAGTGAATGAATGAGTTTTAACAGGAAAAAGTGACCTTTTAAGTAAAAGTTAGTCTTAATCTTTTATATTTTAAAGGAAAAAAATAGTTAACATTCTCCTAGTCTGAAATTCAGATTTGCAATGAAGATATTCCAAGACACAGAAAGATTTCTTTTCAGGAAAGAATCTCTAAATGGAAGTCATGTGATTATTAGGGTCTATACATACAATCAAAATTCTAATTCCACCAGCCCCACCCTGAATCCAGTCACAACTCTAATTTAATCCACTTCCCTCCTCTTCTAATTGAATCACTTTCTCCAATTCTGGTAAACCCTTTCATTACAAAGTTACCAGCCCACAAAATGTGAAAATTTTGCTTAAGGCTTTTAGTAAGAAAATGGAGGGAAAAAACTCAATGCTCACAAGTTAGAAATTATACTTAAAGTAGTATAAATGACCAAAATCTTACAACTGCAGACTATCTATGGTTAAAAGAACATATGGGATGTGAACAGATCCCAGAAATGGGTTGCTTTAATTTGTCTGATTTCTCTCAGACTGTTCAAATACAGTTGGACAATATCCATCATATCATAGACAAATTTTCACAAATGCCTAGGGAGCCTAACTGGTTTTCTTGGCTTCACTGGAGATGGCTGGTAATTATAGATCTGCTTTGGTTATGTAACTGTATTCCTATTATGTTAATGTGTGTG